CATATATATATAAGATCCAGATCTCATAATTAAAAGATCCAGAACTTATAATTACAAGAAAAGATCTCTTATTTATGAAATAAGCTCTCGTAATTACGAGATCTTGATTGCATAACTATGAGAAAAGATCTCAAAATTACAACATCCTGGTCTCTGTAACAAAACCTTAACCAGAGTTAATTTTTTTTCTTTGGTGAATGCAATGCTCATGTTTTTATAGTTGAAGTAAATGTATATTAAATAACGTCTAATGTTGCAAATAATTGGACTTCACATAAAAAATAATTTGGTCTATTCTGAGGGCAAAATTTGGTCCGAGGAACCTCATTATACACCCATCAAACATCGTAACCTCATCACAAATCATGTGAACACAGAGTTTAATACCACATTGATCTGTTTATTGGCCCATTGGTAACACTTTGCATGACGTTAACAAGCAGCATGAGGCCCATGCTTTTCAGTGGCCAGCATCTGATATAATCACATAAACACATTTACCAGAAAACATTGACATCATTATGCAACTTTAGGCACAGAAAAAAAATCATTATTCAATGATGTTAAACAGTTAACGTCTCTGTTGGCTCATCTGTTGTTAGTTTTTTAATCTACTGCTCTTATAAAGACTCATAAAGAGCAGCTACACTGTGACTTTTGTACCAAGATTTTACTATTCCTGCTGTTTATCAACAATAAAATGCTTCAATCAGCCTAACAAACATATAAAACACTTATCACTCTGCATTTATAACAGAGTAAAAAGGTATATTGCTCAACATTTAACAGCAGCAGCAGCAAAAACCTAAACTTTATTGGAAAAATATGCTCTTTTCCTTTGCAATATTTTACATTAAAGCTGGCACAGAATGATTTAAAAGTGCATTTCATGATCAACTGTTGCGTAAGCCYGACTGCGGCAGCTATGTTAAACATCTGAAGGACAGAAAAAAACAAAATAAAAGGCTGTGAAGGTTTACAGCATTCGGCTGTCAGAAATAACTGATGTCTCAGATGTGAATCAGAGAGTGCAGCGTGGGTCTGACATTTGAAACAAAAGCCATCGCTGACGTGGCATTTATTAAGAGTTGGCTAAATTAYGCTCTTTAATTAGACTTAATCTGCACTTTTCTTCTACCTTTTTGTTCAACTTAATAGCCCATTTTAAATACATGTTTCGTGAAAGGAAAAACACTTCGGAGATGTTACCGTTTTTTCAGCCTTGGAACGAGCATCAAGGTTTGTCTGATCAGCACAGCGTTACAGGAACACATGTTGGTTTTAAAACTGTAACAGGTAACAAGATGACAAAAAAACCCGTTGTAGACTCATATTCTGCATCAATGTTAAAAGGTTTCAAAAAGCATCCAGTTTTATCTACAGAGTGGCGATCGAGCTGACTCTTATCAGACGCTCTCTCCTTATCTCAACATCTCAGCAGATCAGGGTCATGAGGCAATCAGTAAATCACTTCCATGCATTAGTGGCTTGAGTGAGGGAGAGGAAGCCAGCTGGCTTTTCTGGATTCTGTGGGCCTCGTCAGATCATTATGTGATTGCACTCTCCCCAACGACGCCGCTGTCATGTTCTGGTTTGGAAAGAAATGAGCTCCGTTTCAACACGTGAGCAAACTAAATTTTTCAGGTTTTGTTTACGTGGAGAGGCTTGTGTGGTTTTAACCTGTTGCTTCTGAAGATTTTAGATCCATAAAAAATGCTAATATTTTCATTTTGTTACTCTGTGATCAAATGTTCATACATTATTCATGAGCTAAACTGCAGTTCAGCACACAGGAAGTGATCTCAGTAAAAACTGTTATTACTGCAACCATTAGGAATGTATCGTGTTGGAATTAATTATGAGTCTTTTATTCTCATGACCACAAGGAGGGCAGAGAGTGCATTCAGTTCAAGAGTGTTTCCCTTAGTGTAACAATAATAACATCTTCAAAGAACTGGAGAAAAAAATCACAAAAAGAAAAAACCCAAACATTTTTTTTAAGATACTGAGCCAAACCTCGATTTGGTAGTGAGACTGTTTTTCGCCACTTATTCTGAATTCTAACAGATCACACAAGTTCTTTCTTTTACACTTGTTAAGTTTGGAGTCTATTCTGTCTGTTTGTTAGCCAAATATCACATGAACCATTGAAGGGATGTTAAAAAAAAACTTCCAGGAAGTAATCCTAGACTTACGGAAGAGGATTAGGGCCACTGAAAAAAAAAAGAAAAAAAGAAAAGGAATTCTGACTTTTTTCTCAGAATTCTGACTTTAAAAGTCAGAATTTACCAACAGCTAATGTTCTGGTTAGTTCTATTGGTTTGGTTCTATACGGAAGAGGATTAGGGCCACTGAAAAATAAAAAAGGAATTCTGACTTTAATCTTTAAAGTCAGAATTCTGAGATTAAAGTCAGAATTCCTTTTTTTATTTTTCAGTGGCCCTAATCCTCTTCCGTATAGCCTCGTACCAACAGCTAACCAAAACATTAGCTTCGCTCCTAGCTAAAAATGTAACTACACTAATGCTATACATGCAAAAAAAATAAAAATAAAACATGGAAGCTAATGCTAAACAAGTAAAAATTAGCTGAAGTTAATCACTAAACACAAAGCCACCTGTCTAATGTCAGAGTTAGTAAAACCTAATTTAGCAGACACTGATTAGTTTGCTAACAGCCACGAAACATCAACAGGTTTGTTAGGTAGCTGTTAGCGGACTTAAAGATAGCAATACCTCATTTAGCAAAAGATAATTGGTTCACTAGTGATTTTTGAAAGCTAGTGAAAAAGCTACTCTGCTAAAAAAAATATACACCACCACTGACTTTTGAGGTCAAACTAATTCAAACCAATTGAACTTAAAGAAAAAACAAAAATGGCTAAAAAAAATCTGTATTTTGTAGATATTGATCTAAACTTCAATGTGGTAATAGCTCTGAACAGATGACTCGCTTATTTATTTACACTTGCCATTAACCTTTGGGAGTCTAACAAAATATCTCGTGAACCACTGAAGAGATCTTAATAAAACTTCCACAAAGTAATCCTTGGCTTGTACAGCAAAAGCAAACCAACTACTGGGGTTTACCCAAATCAAGATGGCCGCCACAGAGAATTAACACCAGCCTCCACAAAAATAGTCAATGTTACAGCTAAAATTTGACGTGGTAGAATTAACAAGTCCTCTAAGCAATACATCTYGCAATATTGCATAAAATTGCACATAAAATCATTCAACTCTGTCATATCTTAACATAAGATGATTTTAGTCTATAACTACAAGTGGCGTGTTATGCAGTCCAACAATGAATCATATGCTTTTAATTTGAAATGCGAGCATTAAAGCAAAGAGGCAGCTGCTTAAATTAGTATTAACTGCTGCATAAAACAGACATATGCTGAAGATAAATGGTTTGAACGTGCAGCCACACACTCAATTAGTTTCACTATTAATTCAGGTTGAAACCACTTCCATCAGTGTGACGCCACTTAGATGTGAGCGACATGGATTCYTGTTAAAGAATACATTCATTTTCTGACGCTCAAGACTCATCATATTAGTACATTACTATAAAAAAATAAAAACACATTGCTTCTTTTAGTTTCTTCAAGATCAACACAAGAAAAACTCAACATTTGTTTAGTCTTGGTAGATGAAGCACTGAGAGATAACCGTTTCTGCCATCACCACAGAGCCCGCGGGTCTTTTCAGGGTTAAAAAAGGCACAAGCAGGAGCAGGAAAGACGGCACATGTTAACCTAACCGTACCTTTTTGATGAGCCAAAGTGACGGCCTGTAAACCTTGATCCCGTCACCATGTGGTGAGAGYGGATCAGGTGTCTCGGATCATTTTACAGCAGCTTTAAATACGAGCTCCAGTTTTCAGTCCCGGTGTTTCACATCGACATTGTGGAACACCAAACTTCCTGATCAGAAAAGTACATTGATTTCCTTAGAGGCATTTTGACAAATTACACTCTGCAGCCGGTGAATAATTAACTGTGCTCAGGATTAGCACSGGCCTTGAAACGAACAGATATAACAGACGCTGAGCAAAATGATTAAATAGATCATTTAAACAAAAAGTAAAAAATTCAATCTTCACAGTATCATTTGTCCCTTTGTGGTGTTGAATATAAACACAGGGTTAAGTCAGCTAAAAAAAAGAATAAAACAAAATGTACACATTAATATAAATTAAACAGTTTTAATTATCTTGTTAAAAAAGGTTCATTTGGTTGCTTAAATTAGAGAACATTAAGCAATAAATAGACGGTAAGCAAACTTCTGAACCACAGTTTCATAGATTTAGTCACCTCAAGTCCACGGATGTTTAAATTACAAACGTTATAAATTATAAAGCTTCAYATTTCATCGTCCTGGCTGGTTTCTGAGGAGCGCCACGTGTTTCGGGCTCTTTTCAACGATTACATCCAACTATAATACAGACTAATAAATAACAGTACAATCAACAACTGCTCAGATTTAGAGCTTTTTTCTGTTTTTTTTTATGGGCGAAAACTTATTTATAACAAAATTGAAGCACTTTTATGGAAACATTCATATAAAAAGTCTTCAGTAGCTGAGGACACCTCTTGGCAGTCTGAGCCTCCCAAATATTCTGATGCTGGCTCCGGCAGAAGTTGGGATTAAAMTTGTCGATGAGAAATGTCTGGCGGCCGCTCGGCAGCCACATGCAGGCTGGTTAGCTCTGAATGGAACGTGTTGTAAACAAAATAAACGTGCGGAGCAGCTGGATCCCRTTAATCCTGGTATAAAAGGTCAACCATTCCTTTGTTGTTGTTTTTAGCCTTTTGGTCTGAGAGTCCTCAGTGGWTACAGTCAAAGCCTGACTTAGTTACTTTGCAGTTTTAAAAGGTTGTTGCCGTCCTGAGTCTGCTTGTTAACGGTGTCCAGAGCGGTCTGCGTATCTTTCTGCTCCTCCACGGAGCAGTTAGAGACGGCGTTGGCCATGATGCAGAACTTCCTCAGGAGGATCTCCCTGAGGAGCAGATAGACCCACGGGTCCAGGATCTGGTTGAGGGACGCTAGCCGTATGGCCGTCAGGAACACGTTACAGTCCAGAAGGACTTCCTGGTTTGTGCTGCTGGTTTTGGAGATTGTTGAGTTACACGCAACGGAGGACAGATTGTTGTAGATCATCTTCAGCAACAGGACCTGAGGGAGGAGAAGTTTGGACAGCGGTTATGAACAGCTAACATCTTACCTGCTGCAGATAATTCTGTGAATGGCCTCACTTAATCAGTAGTGGGCATAGCTAACCAAAATGTTAGCTTTGTAAAACTCATATCCTGCTAACAAAAATGTAACCAACCAACCAATCAATCAATCAACCAATCAACCAATCAATCAATCAATCAATCAACCAAT